CACACACACACACACACACACACACAAATAAATAAATAAAATTTAAAAAAAAAAACAACAAAACACACCGAGACATGCAATAGTCAAGATCCCAGAAATTCAGCACAGGAATAATATACTGAAAGCCACAAGAGAAAAGAAGCTGATCATATTCAAAGGAAAATCCATCAGAATTATGGCCGGCTTCTCTTCACAAACCATGAAGGCAAGAAGAGAATGGAGCAGAGTACTTCAAGTCCTCTACGAAAACAAATTCCAGCTCAGACTACTCTACCCTGCAAAACTCTCTTTCAAGTTTGATGGAGAAGTGAAATACTTTCATGACAAAGAACAGCGAAAGAATTTCATAATGACAAAGTCAACCCTACACAGACCACTGAAAGATGTTCTAGAGAGGGACCAAAATGATCAGAACTCCACGAATGAGATCAGAAACAACCAACTAAATAGGGCAAGCAATTAAACAGAGAAGAAAAATGAGTAAACGATAACAGGTAAATAACATGTCAATCGTAAGTCAATACATCTCAATTCTAACCATCAATGTAAATGAACTCAATTCACCAATTAAACAAAATAGACTGGCACAGTGGATTAGGAAACAAAATCCAACACTATGTTCTATACAAGAAACATATTCAACTCATAAAGACATTCATAGGCTGAAAGTCAAAGGATGGAACACAATATTACACACCCATCACCTCAGAAAAAAGCAGGGGTAGCAATCCTATTCTCAGACAGTCTCAACTTAAAGCCAACAATGTTCAAATGAAATAAAGAAGGCCACTATATACTGGTTAGGAGAAAAATTCAAGAGGAAGAGGTAACACTCATAAATATGTATGCACCAAACACGGGAGCACCCAACTATGTAAAGCAAATCTTAATGGACATGAAAAATCTAATATCCAATACCACAATCTTAACAGGGGAGCTTAACACCCTCTTATCCCAAAAGGATAGGTCAACCGGACAAAAAATTACCAAAGAAATAACAGACCTGAACCAGAGCTTGAAACAAATGGACTTGGTGGACATATACAGAGTGTTCCACCCAAACACAGCCGAATACACATTTTTCTTAGTTGCACATGGGTCATTTTCTAAAATCGACCACATACTAGTCCATAGGTCATGCTTAAGTATATGCAAGAAAACAGAAATTATCCCATGCATAGTATCTGACCATAGTGCAATGAAACTGAAAACAAATGACAAAAGAAACCAGAAAAAAACCCTAAATACATGAAAATTAAACAACACCCTACTCAGCAACCAATGGGTCACAGATGAAATGAAACAAGAAATTCAACAATATCTACAATTAAATGAAAATTCAAGCACAACTTATCGTAATTTATGTGATACGATGAAAGCAGTTCTCAGAGGGAAATTCATAGCTGTGAACTCACACATTAGGAAAACAGAACGGGAACAAATAAATACCCTAATGCTGCAC